ACAATCGATAACCTTCGAAATCTAACGTTGCGATATAATTTCGAAGGTTTTCGAATTAATATAATTACTGATGCTGTTTCATGTTCTCCACAAATGACATGATAATATGAATGATTTTTACTTAGTTGAAAAATTCTTTCGAGAAGATTTATAATTCCAGGTCAAGAAATATACTTATCATCCAACACAGTCAACTTTGGCCAAGTGCCTTTTTCTATAGTTTCGTTGATATGTCACTCATTAGAATGGGATACCCACCAAATGTATAGAAGATCTCCTGTAAAAAAGAATACACCTCCACTTCACAAAAATACCGTTGTGTCCCATGCTCATTTTTTCCAATTAATAAAATGTAAATAGGTTTGTATTGGAGTCCATTTCTTACTTCAGGCGGACTTCCAGTTTTCAAAATCATTTGGGCGGAATTCGTATAAGGTCTATAAAGTGACAATTGAAACGGAACAGGTTCCGAGTTTCTCAACACAAAATTTTGCCGTTGAAGGAATAGAGTATGGCGAGACGGAAAAATGCACCTACGAAAGTACAGTGTGATTTTGAACGAAGACATCAGAATGGTTATCGATTAGATCTTGATTGACAAAAATTTATACCTTTTTTTTAACCGATCTGAAAAATCTAGTAAATCGCAAAACGCATTTGAAGTTTTAATTTTATTCAATGAGACCCAGTTCTCGAAGATGTTCTGGAATAACTATATATGGGTCTTCGTAATGCCAAACATATCTTAAAACAATCCAATTTTCTTTACACAATTCTTTCTTGAGTTGATCCCAGTTTTGCTGTTTGATAAAATTATTGGGATCTCCTTTATGGAAGAATTTGTGATATTTTTCATGTTGAGATCCCTGGACTTCAATCGAAAACCATAATTATAGTAGGAAATGTCAAGTTCCAATCCATTCAGATTTTCAGGAGTTTTCAAAAATTCTGGTCTACGATTTGCCAATGGAGGCCCAAGATATTTTGATACTATTTTTCGACATAAATTTTCATACTTATTTTTACAATATGGACACCAGGTATTATGATTTCAAATAACATAAAATGATGTACACCAAGTATGCCCTTCAGCCCATTTCCAATAATATAAATCTTTAGATTTGGTGTATTTTTTAGAAAGGCATTCGCCACCATGCAAATGAGCAGTTTGTTGCATTATATTAAGATTTAATATAACTTCCCGATTTACACAATATGGACACCATGTATTACGATTTTTTATACTACCAAGGGATGTATACCATATATGCATTGCCATAATAATGGAGTTATATTATTAATATATTGGTTAGAGAGACATTTTCCTTCTTTATTATATGCAATTTGTTTAGCATCTTCAAGAGTAAGACGATTATCAGCACAATATGGACACCATTTACCATAGTTTTTTTACATTGTTAAGAGATGCATACCAGGTATGAGATTTATTGCATTGCCATAATAATGGTGATTTGTTGTTAAATATATTTTTCTGAAAGACATCGTCCACGTTTAGATAGTGCAATTTGTTGAACATATTCAATGGTAAGTCTTGCAGTACCTATACAATATGGTGGTTTGTCATTTTTGGAATTAAAGTTTTCGTTAGAATTATTTTCACCTAACGATTTTAAATAATTAATTTTTTATTAATTAATAAAAGATAAATATATTACATGAAAATGAAGTATGTATTTGATTCTTGTTGAAATTGGTAAAAGAAGTTACTAGGGTCTAAAGAAGTAAAACTTTTAAAACTTTGGTTGTTAACTTGTTCCGTCATTTGTGAACCTAATACTAATTTATTGAAATGGTATTGCTACTTTATCTTCTGATTATACGTAACTATTAAATAAAACCTCTCTTCGAACTATATATAACTACCTTTATAAAAAGTTACATTTTTTATATTTAAGGATTTTTTTAAAAGAAAAACATACTGTTTATTATCATTTGCAAAAAATTTATTAATAAAAAATGTTGACCAACATTCCATTGATTAGTGACATAAATGTTAACCAATGATAATTTATGATGACATTGATAATAGATTTGCAGAAGTCACTTATAAACAATAAAAATTCTAGAAGTGAATTACAACAAGAAATTCAAAATAAGAGGAAGAGCCAAAAAACTTTAGAGCATCATAAAAGATCTACAAAATTTTGGTCAAAAAGTAATTTAATTGAATATTTTCTTTCCACCTTTAAAACGTAAGGCATTCTAATGTAAACTCCGGTTACGAATTTTTTCTCTAAGTGAAGTAACAGTTTGAAGAAAGACAAGAGGGATTGTGTGTAAATATAATTGTAAATATTATTATAAATATGTATTTCTTGTATATAAAGATATAATGGGTGGGAAGAGGTAAATAGAATTTGGATTTAGGTTTCATTATATAGAATAATTTAATTTAATCTATTTAATGCGAGGATTTCATTATAAAAATCGGGAAAGGGAGATTTCTCGCTTAAAACAACTTTGGAAGAGCCACCAAATGTTTCTCTTGCTTTCAAAAATCATTTTGAAGGTATTCATGTACTTTTCTAGTCTTCAATAGTTATTTTCAAATCTTCAAGGGTTCTACCTTGCCTTCGAGTAATTTGAAGGTATTCTTCTAGTGATGATTGGGTCACTGATCTTTTTATCCCTCGAGAAAGGGTTTGAGGTCAGGTATACTGGGTATTCATTAAAGAACTAATATCTATTCAGCTTATATTTTTATAATTTCAATTATATATTTCTCAAAATGTTGTAGAGATATAAAATCTATTGCATTTCATAAAACATTAAAAATATATGTAATACCAATTTTCAATATATATTTTAATCATCGTCATCATTTCTTTAATAAGATAGAAGAATTTGCATATCTATTATCTCTATTATTATTACGTTACGATACGATATTATAAATATTATAATGTGATTTATTACTTGTACATCAACACAGAAGATCAAATGAATATATGACAAGCTTGAAAGAATGAATTCAAAAACAATGCAATAATAAAAATATACAATAAAGAATTTAAACATTATTACGTAATTTATATATATGTGGGGTATATTATCTTTTTTTTTTTTTTTTTTTATATCAGTTCGGCATCCTCCAAGAAACGATATTCAAATCTAATTTTAAATGATGAGAAAAAAAATGAGAATAAGAAATTTTGGTTGAACTTTGCAAAAAAAAAAAATAATAATAATAATAATAGAATAAGTCAAACATACCTGAATTCTGTCTTTTTACGCTGACACCAAGCACCTTCATAATCGAAATAAATATATGTACCTTGCTCATATTCATCCGTTATTGCCTTAGGCTCTTCATGTCTTTGAAACCACGTTAAATATTTTTTGTGAAATCTCCATGACTGTTTTTTCAATTCTCTAGCAGCAAGATATCTGAGAAATGATGATGATATATTATTATTATTATTATTATTATTATTATTATTATTATTATTAGAGATTACATTAATAAAGAAAATTCTTACTGTTGATAAGTTCCTTGCTGATAATAAAAAATGAAAAATAATGTATCAATGTCGAATTTTTCAAATGATGCAGGATTATCTAACATTGGAGTTGGGGTTTGTGGAAAGTACGATGGCGTCTGATATGGAGTTTTAGGAACATAATACTTGGGCCTTTAAAAAAAAATTGGAAATTTTTTTATTATTAATATTAATATTATTATCGTTGTTAATAATGCATTAAAAAATAAATTATTTCAAAATTACTTTAAAATTGCTTCAAGATTACTTTAAAACACCAACCTTTCAGAATCTATACTATCCGGAATATATTGAAGACTTGTGTCCAACATTTGTTGAATATGAAAACTATCTTCTTTACCCATGACTAAATAAATTTAAAGTACAAAAAAAAGTAAATTATATTAAAATTAATAAAATGAATTTAAAAAAAGATAAACGAATAAATATTAAAGACATGATGTAGTACCCCGCTGCTTACATTTCTCTTCGGCTGCTTCAAATGATTGTACTAAATCTGATAATACTGCTGGTATACGGTTTTCCCCGGATGATGTTGATGATGTTTCATTATTTGAAGATCCTTCTTGTTTCGGGTCGGATGAATTAGGTATATCTGAAGATAGCTATATATCAAAAAAAAAAGATAATCCAAATTTTTATATATTAAGCAAATTAATTAAATGATATTAATACAAATAATAATAATAATAATAATAATAATAATTACAGATGAATGAGTCGGTGTTGGTGGTGGTTGCGTAGAAGGAATTTCGCGATTTTGTGCTTGAGGTTGTTGAGGTTGTACTTGTGATGATGAAGATGAAGAGGAAGGGAAAGGACCAATATGTAGTTGAATTGTAGGTTGCGAAGATTGTGGTGGTACCTGCGTCTGTTTAATCTTTTTGAAGAAGGAATTTAACAAAAATTAAATAAACATTAAAGATTTACTATAAATTATTAAAGAAATATTGGAAATATTGAAAAGTGGAAAAAAAATTACTTGATTGTCATTAGAGATTGGAAACTGCTGTTTACTGGAATCGATTGAGTCAATCAAATTTTCTAAAAAATTACAACACGTGATAATAAGCAAATTTAATCAAATTTTAAAAAAATAAAAGTTCTAAAAAAATTTTAATTTTTCGAACCTGCTTTTTTATTATCAACTTGAGTTATAGAAGGATGAGATTGTATAGGTTGTGTTGGAGGTTGAGATGGTTGTTGTGGCGGTGGTGGTGGTATTGGTTGTGATTGCTGCTGCTGTTGTGGTTGTGGTTGTTGTTGTTGTTGTTGTTGTGAAGGTGGTAGTGATTGGAATTGAAACTGAGTTTGTTGCAGTTGTTGTTGCTGTGGCTGATGTTGTTGTGATAATTGTTGCTGTTGTTGTGGATGATGCAAAGGTGCTGAAGAATTTGTTTGCGTATTTACAGCGGATGGTGGTTGAGGTGCTGATGTTGGAATTGGATGTTCTTGTATCGTTGGTGCTGGGTTTACTATTGGGAAACGTTGTGGCGTTGAAGTGGCTTGTGGGGTATCCTGTATGCCTTGTTTAGCCACTGCAGCCACTGTTCGAATTTGTCCAGTAAGAGGTGCAGATTTTGGTGGTGGTGTAAATGTAGCAGAAGGTGGTGGAGAAATTACCGAAGGACCAGTTAATATTGGTGGAGGCGGTGGAAGTTTGATTTTTTCTATCAAAAAAAAAAAAAAAAATAAATAATCAAAAAATCGAAAAAAAAAATACAAAAAAAAAACCAAAATAAGTTCACATGTATTATAAGAATATTGAAATAAATTCTTTACCTTCTTCCTTTTGACGTTGTGGCAATGACTCAAAAGCATTGCTAGTTTCTATTGATTAATTGATAAATAAAAAATGAAAATTATTAATTATTGTATAGTTATATAAATATATTATCAAATCCATGTGAAATAAAAAAATTCATACTTCTTGAAGGTACAGGTGCTGGTGCTTTAGTAGGAGCTGATACTCTCGTCGTTGGTGAAGTCGTTGGACTTGAAGGCTATTATTCAAAATAATTATTCAAAAATATGATAAAAATTCTATATGCTAATATATCCTAAAAGTTCTCACGATTCTAACAAAGTGACCGTTTACAATAAATTTATATCCAAGAAACTTACTTCTTTAGATGGTGAACGAGGTTCTAAAAAAAGATGCAAAAAAAAAAGATATTAAAATTCATTTTTAATAAAATCTATGGAAAAAAACAAAAAAAAAAGGAAATTTAACTTTTATGACTTACCATCTGAATTAGATTCATCATTACTGTGATGATCATCATTCGTAATTCCCCATAGTTCTTCTTCTTCTTCGAGATTTAATTCATCGTATATGTTTTCATCTTCAGCAAAATCGGGATCCTTGTTTTATATATATGGAAAATTTTAATACATAACAAAAATTATTAATTAAAAGAAAATTTAAAATTTAGAGAATTTTTTTATCAACCTGATTACATTCCACATAAAACTTGATTTCTTCTTGGATTAGAATGACCTATAAACAAAATAAAAAAAGAAAAAGGAATAAAAAAGAAAAAAAGGGTAATTTGAGCAACATTAAATTATTGATAAATAAAGTATTAATTATTATTAATATTAATATTATTTTACCTTCTCTGGAGGAATATTACCATTCTCAAGTAATCGTAATATTAATTCTAATCTATTAACATGAAATTTATGTCGTTCTATCATAATCTCTACTTCACCTAATCTATCAGCTTTTGATGAATCTTTTCGACCCTTTTTAACAGCACCTTGTAATTGTTCAACTTCAGCTTCAGCAGTTTCAATTTGTGTTGCAAGTGCATCAATTTGATTTGATACAAAATCACAGGTATCAATCTTTTCTTTTTCTTTCGGATCCATCTTTATTGATTGTTGAAGACCTTCCTTAGAATAAGCTTTCGTTTTCATCTCTTTCTCACATGCCTTGAATTTTTCCATTTGCTAATTGTACAAATATAAAAAGGAAAATTGATCTAGATCGCATATAAATTGAATTTTTTCACATTTTTTTCTTCATTTCAAAAAAAATTGAATTACAAAAAAAAATTTGAAGGATTTTACTCAAACCTGTTCAATCAAACGTCGATTGTCGAGCAATGCTCGTTTATCCTTTATATCATTTGAGGATATCCATGTTTTTATTTGATCGCGATGTCTTTGCAACTTCTTAATTTCTTTTTTCAAATCTTGTTCCAATTTTTCTTTTTGATTCGAGTTCGTGGTGGCTTGGATTTTTATAAAAATCCCTTCAAAAGTTTCCACCCCTTCAGCAACTTTTTTGAGTACACGATCTATTTCGGCTAAAATAAAACAGTAACAAAAAGCATTTCAGTATTCGAAACATAAGAAACAGAAGATAGTTCGAAATGTAAGAAATATATATTCTACAGAGTAAAAAAATCAAATAATTCTAGTCGTTCTTTATATTAAATAAATATATTAACAAACTAATAGAACTAATAAATATGAAGTGTTGATTGAAAGAGTACTTTGTAATTTTCTGTTAGCCATTATGGTAGTGCACGAAAGTCAAAGTTAAATTTCTGTCATACTTTCTATCGTATAAATTTATTTAATCATCATGTGATCATAATGTCCTTTAGATGTTATTTTTCTCGTTAAAAAAAAAAAATAACGTTTCGTTCAAAATTTTAAACTTTACCTATAATAATTTATTTAATTAAATTAAGCAATTATTAAATAATATATCATATATGTGGAAATATAAGTAATGAATTCTGTTCAACAAATAGACGAACTTGTTAAAGAATATTTATTAGTACGTATCAGGTTTGGTTTCATTCATATTTTTAGCATTTCGTATTTCTATAGTAATTTATTTTTCGATATATACTTTTTTTTTATTATTATTAACAGTTTAGAGGATTTTCGAATACTTTTCGTTCCTTTGAACAAGAATGTAGAAATGATAGAGATAAAGGATTCCAGGTTATAGTTCTTTTCCATTTTTCCATATATATATATATATTTTTTAGTGAGGGAGTTTACCAAATATAATTAAATGTTCATTAAATATTTATTAAAATATCTCATTCAATTTGTGGCTGAACTTTAGGCGGAAAAAATTATTGATGAATTATATTCATTTATCACAAAGAGTGACATTAATGGGTTACTTGATTATTGGAAATATCTTAATCAAAGATATTTTTCAAGATTAGATGCTCGATTTTTAGGATGTGTTAAAAAATTCGAAACGTGTCTATTACGATATTATCTGGTTTATGGTAAATAAATAAATATATATGATTTATTGATATTTATTTATTTTATTTATTCATTATAATTTTCATTATCTTTTTATTCATCAATTTCAGCGATACAGCAGAAAAGAGAAGACATAGTTTTTGAATTTTTTAAAACTTTTGGAACAGAATTAAGTGGAAATGTAGAATGGTCAAAATGGTTTGGTAAGAATCATTTATTTTTTATTTCATTTATTTCATTATTTTATTTTTTTTTCTGAAATATATGTTAACCTTCTTTTCTTTGCATTTTTTTTTCTCTTCTTCTTTCTTTTTACAGGATTGCCATTTTCAAAAAATCCAGCAGCAGATCCAAATTTTGAAGCATATTTCACCAAACAATGGTTAGAGACATTAACAGTGTCTTTGCATAACTTCCTTAATACAATACTTCAAAATATGCGTATCCTTTTTTTTTTTTTTTTGTTTATAATATAATCCATTTTGATTATTTATTTATTTAATATTTCTCAAAATTATTTATATCACCATAACAATTCATTTTCCAATTATTCTTTAAATTTTAATATGCATATATATATATATATGTAAAAATAATAGCACGACCAAGTTTATTATGTTTTAATGTTGATAGAATTCATCGACGAGAGATTGAATCATTACAAAATGGAATTCAAGTTTTAAAACATGAACTTGAAAATAAAGATCATAAACTTGAAAATAAAGATCAAGAAATTATGTCTTTACAACAAAAGGTTAGTTAATAAGTTAGTAAGTAATTATATCTTTACAATTTATGTGTGTATACATATATATTTGTATATTAAATAAATAAAAAATTATAAGAAGAGGATGACAAATAGATATGTATATATATATTTATTTATTTATTTAATTAGATGGTTCAATTACAAGATACTCCTAAATCAAGACGAAAAGTAAAATCATTTGATCCGAAAGATAAAGATAATATGTGAGTTTTATATTTTCTTTATTTTCTTCGGTTTCTTTGATTTAGTTATTAATTTCATTTATAAATATATATAATTTTCATTTATAAAATTTTCAGTCATGATTATTCTCGTGTGCCCAGTAAGTAATATGATTATAACACTTTTCTTCTTTTCTTCTTCTTTCTTCTAGTTCGTGAATTAAAAATAATTAATACCTTTTATTATTATTATTATTATTACAAAGATGGAAATTATTCATCTAGTCTACCGTTATCAAGAACCTCAAGTAATAATAAGTTAGAAGTAGGTTTAGAGATCAATAATAATAATGGAGTTAAGTCACCGGAAATTTTTGCAGATGATCGAAGTATGACTCCAATATCAGAATATGATACAGATGATACTCAAGAATTACCAGGAGAAGATATAAATCCTTTCACAATTCTGAGTCAGGTAAAATTTTATTCATTATGATTTGTTGTAAATATTCGTATTATATTTCTTGATTATATATCTATATATTTTTTATATTTTTATATTTTATTTTATTTATTATTTAGGAAATATATTGTGAACATAATTCTGGTATTTCTTTTGTTAAATTCTCTCACGAGGGTAATTTTATCGCAAGTTGTGATATGGATAATATTGCAAGGTATTAAATTATTTCTAGATTAATCAAATTTTTTATTATTGAAATGAAAATATAATAATAATATTTAATTAAATTCTAATAATAGGATATGGAGTTATACAGGCGTAAATACTCCTTGTAAAATAAATAATCCCAATTCAAATGTATTATGTTTAGAATGGGAAGCGAGATCTGACAAGCTTGTAAGCTCTTTTTTAACAAATCATTTTTTTAATAAATTTTTCTTTTATTTTTTTTTTTTTTTTTAGTTCAATCGTGATATTTTTGTATTTTATATTTATTATTATTATTAAAAGTGATATATAAATATAAAAAAAAAAAAATTCTAGCTTATGTTAGGCACTGATGAAAGACAAGTTCGAATATATAATAGAGAATCTAAATCGATAGTTCATGAATTTCAAATGGAAGAAGCATTTCCAAGAGTTAAACAAATTAGTTGTTCTCCTGTAGGATCTTTATTCGCTTGCTCCAGTTCACCTAAAAAATCAATGGATGATGGATCTGATGGTGGTGCAACTGGAGCATTAATAACGTGGAATTTAAAAACGATGTCAATACAAGTAGGGGAAAACATATTTGAACTCTTTTACAGTATTATATTTTTTTTTTTATTTTATGTTATTTTATTTTTATTTTTATTTTATTTTTTTTTTTAACTTTTGGTTATTTTTATTTCAAATATATTATTATTATTGTATTTATAGGATTCGTTTACTCTCGATTCTTCAATATCAAAATCAGGTTTACCAGTTGTTCCTATAGAGACCATTAAATTTAATCATAATGGTCAGTTGCTTGTTACAGGCGATAAAGCTGGCTGTGTACGCATTTTTGGTGTGTGAAGGTTTTGATCTATTATATATATATTTTTTCCTTTCAAATTCTTTCAATTTTATCATAATCACTTTAATTCAAAAATAATATAATTTTTTTTTAAATATTAGATATTCGTTCATTATCTCCAATTATGGAATGGAATTTATCGAGAATAGGAGGTGGATCAAATAAAAAAGGAAGCGGTGTCATATGTTCATCGCAATTTAGTTTTGATGAAAATTCAATTTATGTTGTTGATGAAGCAGGCGATGTAATATTTACCTTAAATATTTTATTATTTAATTGTATTTAATTTTAAGAATTTGTCACAAAAATTATAATTAATATATTTATTCTATTACAGCTTACACAGTGGTCTGTTCATAAACCCGGATTTATAGTTTCACAATCCCAACTTCCTGGATTTTCTGCATCACTTATTAATTTTAATCCAACACCAACAGCAAAATCATCATTTCGTAAACGTACCGCATCAATGTCTTCTGTAAGATCTACTAAATCAAACAGATCGACATCATCGGTTCCAACCATAACGGTTGCAAATGAAACAATACAACCAACATCGCGTGTTCCCATGGTGGCATTTAGTGGTGATACAGAACATGTTGTTTGTACTTGTGGATTTCAAGGAGTAATTTATCAGGTAATTAATAATGTAAATGTGATTCTTTATAGTTTGCAAAAAATTTATTTATTTATTTTATTTAAAAATTTAATTAACTAATTAATGATGATGTTAATATTATTATTATTTAGACATCAACGGGTTATCAAGTACAAATGTTAGCTTCACATCCACATACTCCACCATTGACAGCAGTGGATTGGACTACAACTTCAGCTAATTCAATATTGACAGCTGCAAGTGATGGAACCGTGAGAGTAACCAGAATGACAACAGCCACAAATTTATAGTAATAAGAAATTAAATTTTATTTATTTTATTTAAATTTTTATTTGGACAATTATAAATAATTAGAATATTTATTAAATTTTACGTTGATAATATGCAAATATGAAACAGAATATTATGGGTTGGCCTTCCTCTTCTTATTCCTTTTGTTATTAATATCTTATTATAATTCTTATTATTATATTTCCTTCTTCTCAAATGTATTATTATTATCTAAATATTTTATTTGTTAAATCAGTTTTAAATTTAGTTTTATTATTAGTATTTATTATTATTCTACAAGTTTATTATTTACAGATAAGAATTATTTATAATTGTTTATGCGGAATTGTGATAAGTATATATGTATATATATCTAATATTATAATATTATATTAGAATATATAATTGAATAAGTTGAGATTATTTAAATTTTATTATTAAATTGAAATATAAAATTAGGCATTTTTTTTTAAATTATCATGTGATTATCTAATTGGCTCCAAAATTGGTAAAAAAAAACACTGTAATCATTATATTTGTACAAAACGGATTTATTTAATCTGAAATAGAAGAAATGGAAGTTAAAAAAATTAAACTCAGAAAAATAAAAGTAATGAAAGAAACGAAAGAAATGAAAGAAATTGGAGAGACAGAAGAATTGGAAGATTCGGAAGAGTTAGGCATATTGTTATATTAAACTTTATTTTAAAATAATTGCTAATAATAAATTACATATTTTAAATTACATTACAAATTATATTACAGTTCGTGAGTATTTAATTTTATAATTATTGAAATCAATGTTTTAATATTTAATATTATATAAGAATTCTCTAATCAATAATAAACTAAGCAATATAAATTAAATTATAGCGAGTGAGTATTTAATTTTATAATTATTGAGATCAATGCTTAATATTATATAACAATTCTCTAATCAATAATAAATATAAATTATATTACACTTCGTGAGTATTTAATTTTTATAATTATTGAAATAAATATTTTAATATTATATAACAATTCTCTAATTAATAATAAACTAATCAATATAAATTATATTACAGTCTGTGAGTATTTAATTTTATAATTATTGAATCAATGTTTTAATATTATATATATTATATAACAATTCTCTAATCAATAATAAACCAATCAATATAAATTATATTACAGAAAGTGAGTATTTAATTTTATAATTATTGAATTCATTGTTTTATTATTATATAACAATTCTCTAATCAATATAAATTATATTACAGAAAGTGAGTATTTCATTTTATTATTATTTAAATCAATATTCTAATATTATGTAACAATTCTCTAATTAATAATAAACTAATCAATATAAATTATATTACAGTCCGTGGGTATTTAATTTTATAATTATTGAAATTAATGTTTCAATTTAAATAATAATTTTTTAATTAATTATCAATAATATTCTCAGTGTTCTTGAAAAGTGTAGTGAATGCAATCAAGATAATACTGGAAGAAATTGGTGCCATTCATGTAATGTCAAAAAATTTCAAAATAATTTTGATGAATGGACAAGTAAAAATAGAGAAATTTGAAATTGATGAATTTATTCAACAAATACAACTAAATGCAAATAAGTATCAAGAAATTATTGAGTGGATTCCATTTGAAAGACTTGAGAATGTCACATTCCTTGCTAAAGGAGGGTTTGGCACAGTATATAAAGCAATTTGGCTTGATGGATTTATTTTATCTTGGAATTATGTAGTAAAAAATTGGGAAAGGTCTCAGAAACTAGATGTCTGCTTAAAAAGTCTTGATAATTTCACAAATAAAATTATTTTTTGCAAGAGGCAAATATTTATGTTATTTATTTTCATTGTTTTAATTATATAATAATTATATTTTATGTTAATAAATATTTTAGATTAAAAATCAACTTAAGTTTCGAGGTAAAAATGCAATTGCAATGTATGGCGTCACTAAAAATCCAACAAAAAATGAATATGTGATGGTTTTGAGTTATGCGAGATATGGTAATCTTCGAAAAGTATTGAATAATGAATTTAAAAAAATTAACTTGGAAGGGAAAATCTACTATTCTATTATCTATTGTAAAAGGACTTAAAAATATCCATGAAATGGGCTTAATGCATAAAGATTTTCATTCTGGTAATATAGTTAATCCAGATATAGTTGTATGTCAAGTTACTGATTTTGGATTGTGCAAACCAGTTTCAGAAAATGATCCAAAAAATATTTATGGTGTAATTCCATATATGTCACCTGAGACATTAAGTAGATGAGAATACACTCAAGTATCTGACATTTATTCTTTTGGTATGGTTATGTTAGAAATTCTAACTAGCTATCCGCCATATTATAATATTTCACATGATTTAAATCTTGTAATGAAAATTTGCAAAGGGCATAAACCTGAAATCAAATATGAAATTCCTCAATTTTTCAAAGAAATAATGGAAAAATGCTGAAATTTTGAACCTCTCAATCGTCCAACTGTTGAAGAATTGAAATCTCAACTTAATAAATATTCTTATGATGGAAAAATAAAGAAACAAGTTAGTGAAGCAAATAAATCAAACAAGAATTTTATTCAATATGATCCAATTGAAATGCATCCTGAAGTAATATATACAAGTAGACTCATACCTAAACTTGCAATTCTTGAATGTGATACATTTACCGAATATGATACATTTAGTAAATATAGTTTATTTATGTAAGAAATAAATTTGATACCTTTTTTTTAAAAAAAAATAATTTAATATTAATTATTTATTTAGATTCAAGAAGCAATTTTTTTTTCAATTCCTGAAATAATTGGTAAATCTATTTCTTTCTATTTCTTTAATTATTTTTTTTAATATATTTATATTAACTGTATTATATTTAAATTTGTATAATTGAAGATGAAGAAAATGAAGTTCAATAAATGGAATTTAATTCAATTCATTGGGAATTAATAGAATAATTGGTTTAGAATTAAATATTTATCTTTTAATTTTAAATATACTATATTTTATTTTATCTTGTTATTATTATATTTTATATAAACTATTTTTTCATTAATTTATTATATTTTGATATTTTTATTATTTGATTTGATCACTGGAATTATAGAGTATAGCTTTTATTTAAATTAAAGCAGACCAGTATGTACATAATCATTTTAAATAAATCATTTCTGTCTTGATATTTCAAAAATCTTAATATTTGGATTATTTATTATTTGTGTTTATGATATACTGTTTATAAACCATGTAAAGAGAAACTGAAAATCCATATCAGTTAACTTTTCTTTTTAACTTTTATAATTGATGCAAAATGAACAAATGAACAAGACAGTTAATTGTAAATCAAGTACTGTTTATTGTGTACAAACTCATATAGACACCAGCTGTTTTTTTTTCAAATTTTTAAAAAATTTCAAGGGTGAATCCTGGCACAATGAATAATTTATTGCACTAACTTTTTTTTTTAAAAGAAATCCCAGATTAAGGGCTATCCGTATCTTATTTATTCAAATTGAATGCCTGCTCATTTTAAAATTAAAATTGACCAAAAATATTAAATTAAATTGTTAATAATAAACTCTTTTGATTTCAGTAATTATCTACCAGAGGTGCTTACTATCTTATAAGAAGTTGTAGCTTTATACTAAATATACAACTTTAATTAGTACCATATTTTATGTTTTCTAGTTTAAATCAGAACTTTACTTGGACACAACTTAAAAATGATCAAAATTATTATTGATCATTTACTGTTTAAAGAAAATTATCAATCGTTGTTACATATAAAATATTATTTTATTCCAACAAAATCTCAAAAGCGATACTAAGTAAACTTGAAGAAATATTATCTTAAATCTACTGTAAAAGTTTCAAGCCTACATTTTAAGAATTAAAGGAATTATTAGTATTTATTTATTAAAGTTTAATTGTTAATTATTTCTTCTCTTCATGTAATAAAGACTTGAAACTTTTAGAGTAGATGTGCAATAATATTCCCTTCAAGATTACTTAGTATCAATTTTAAGTTTTCATTGGTATAAAATAATGTTTCATATGTAACAATGATTAATAATTTTCTTTAAACAGTAAATATCAACAATAATTTCAATCATTTTTTAGTTATGTCTAGAAAACATGAAATTTGGTACTAATTAAAGTTATAGAATTAGTATAGTACTACAACTTCTTATAAGATAGCAAGCACTTCTGGTAGATTATTACTGAAATCAATAGAGTTTATTATTAACAATTTAATTTAATATTTTTGGTTAATTTTATTTAAGACAAGAATTTAAAATGAGCAGGCATCCATTTTGAATAAATAAGATATCATATGATAGCCCTTGATCTGGGTATTCTTTCAAAAACAGTTTTGTGATTTAATTATTCATTGTGCCAGAATTCACCCTTGAAATTTTTTAAAAAATTTGAAAAAAAACAGCTGTCTGGATACTTTTGGCAGGCTGTCGTATGTTCTTTTCTATCAAAACTAATAATATATTTATTGCTATCAATAAAATATAAAATTCCTCAACCCTAATTTTGGTCAGTTTTCATCTGTATTATAAAAATTCTTTATTTATTGATTTTGAATAAGAAAATAAAAAGCGTGACAATTTTGATTATTTATTATTATTTAATGTAGATAACATCATGTTGTCATCGTCACCATTGGTGATCCTGATTCTATATCCATGGTATTTTTTTCCATCTACATTTATTGGATACATGTGAATATAAGTAACAGCAAAATCATCATTTCGTTAAACGTACCGCATCAATGAAATAAAACAGATCGATATCATCATATCATCGGTTCCAACCATAATGGTTGGTTGCAAATGAAACAACAATACAACAAACAACACGTGCGCCAATGGTAGCATTTAGTGGTGATACAGAACATGTTGTTTGTACCTATAGACTTCAAGGAGTAATTTATCAGGTAATTAATAATGTAAATGTAATCCTTTATATAATTTACAAAAAAAAATTGCTTACCAAAT